TTGGCATAGAGTGAAATCAGTGGTCGAACAGCCAGCATAGAATTGAAGTGGTAGATAGACAGTCAGCATGGAACAAACTCGGTCAGGAGAGAGCTACTATATATAGCATAAAAGAAGTAGGCAAAAAGAAAAAAAAAGAAAAAAAGAAAAAACAGCATAGTCTAGAGCTACTATAGCATAAAAGAAGTAGGCAAAAAAAAAAAAAAAAAAAAAAAAACTAAGAAAAAGAACCCCCCCCAAAAAAAAAGAAAAAAGAGAAAAAAAAAGAAAAAAAACAGCATAGTCTAGAACTGTCCGGCAGAAAGCATAAAACAGAGTTGACAATCTACATGGATTAAAACTGGCAGAAAGACAGCTAGCTTCAGACAGGCAAAAAGGGTGAAAAGTTGGTAAAAAAAGAGAAAGAAAATGCCGCTTAAAAAGAGAATAAAAGAAAAAAAAAAAATGAAAATCTTTGTTATTGTTACATAAAGCTTAATCTTTGTCTTTTTTTTTTAGTCAACAATTATAAATAGATTTTTTTTGCCCCGAGCCAAAAATACAAGACTATAAAAATAAGCTGAAATAAACCGTGTTGATGAAAACTTTATTCTCCCTAATTCTTTACGAGAGAAAATTAGAAAACGTTTTAATTATATACGACAAAACAACAGACATCAAAGGGAGAGCATCTTTACAATCTACATAAAGGGATTTTTGGAATACAAAGGTTTATTCTTCGTCTTGATAATCTTAAACTTTTTCTCTGGCGTTTGCATTTCTTTTTTTTATTTCTTTCGTGCTAGAAGACTAATTTGAGTATACGTACACACACACACACACACACACACACACACACACACACAACACACACACACACACACACACACACACACACACACACACACACACACACACACACACATATATATATATATAGATAGATAGATAGATAGATAGATAGATATAGATATGCACACCACACACATACACATATATATGTGTGTGTGTGTTTATGTGCACTCTCTTTTTCCTCACGTGGATATCATTGTTTCCAGGTGTTTATGTGAAGCTGAACAAATATCTCGACTGGATCTACGCCAACACAGGGGACTCCGTTTTCTGTTCGACTTACAACCCCAAACTAAATGAGAAACGCCATCACGGAAAGAAAAAGGGAAAAGGAAGGAAGACGAAGGGAAGCGAAAGCGGAAACTCAATCATTCGTTAAAAGTATAAGAAAGAAAGGAAAATGGAGAAGTCAGAACATAAAAGAAATTATGGAAAGGGAAGACACCTTTGACTTTACTTTTTATTATTATTATCTTTCCTTCTTCATCTTAACATTGTTTTTTATTATTATCATTATCCTTATCTTTATAGAGATGATCTAGAGAGATTGATGATGATTGTCTGAACTCAGTATATCCGAATAATGTTTCAGAAAATTATCATCATCAACTTGTCATTGGCACGAGGCGTCACCAGCCTGTCAACCTTTTATGAGCCTTTAACAGTCAGTCAACCTGTCATTAGATGTCATCAACCTGTCAACCTGCCATCAGTCATCGCCGACCCGCCATCAACTGTCATCAACCTGTCATTAATTGTCTTTAACCTGCCATCAATTATCTTCAACCTGCCATCAGTCATCGCCAACCTGCCATTAATTGTCATCAACCTGTCAATCTGTCATCAGTCGTTAATTGTCATCAATCTGCCATTAGATGCCATCAACCTGTCATCAGTCATACAACCTGTCAATCTGTCATCAGTCGTTAATTGTCATAAATTAATTGTCATCAATCTGCCATTAGATGCCATCAACCTGTCAACCTGCCATTAGCTGTCAGCAACCTGTCATTAGTTGCCATCAACCTGCCATTAATTGTCATCAACCTGTCAACTTGTCATCGGTCATCGCCAACCTGCCATTGTCATCAACCTGCATCATAAAAAAAATCATAATAACTTGATCATGAAAAATATATTCATCGACCCTGTCAACCTGCTATTATTGTCTTCAACCTGACATTAACTGTCAACCTGCCATTAGCTGTCATTAGTTGCCATCAACCTGCCATCTATTGTCATCAGTCTGTCAACCTGTCATTAGTTGTCAACCTGTAACCTGCCATTAATGTCACCAACCTGCATCATCGCCTCCATAAAAAATATATTGATCATGAAAATATATTCATGGAAGCATTCATCTTAAAAAACAAAAACAAAACAAAAACAAACTCGAATGCACGAAGAAGAAGAAAAAAATCTAGTTTCTTACTCATAATCAAAGACAAGAAAGAAAATGAAAAAGAAGAGAAAAGGCAAAAACAACGAAAGACAAAGAAAGAAAACAAACGGTTGTTTACTTAATTACTTCTGCTCTTTACTTCTTGTTTACTTGTTTGCGATTGATTGTTGTTATTTACAGTATTTTGTTGTTGATGTTAGTCTTAGGTTGGGTGTCAGTAAAGTTTGATAAAGTGTTATTGTTATAAAAATAGTTAATAAAGGTACT